CAATACACTCTCAGTTTCCATTCCATAAATACGAGAAACAGCACTGTAGAAGGAACAGGCATTTTTAGCCCCAAAAGTTTCTCGATTTTCCCAACTTTGAACCATATGTATCATTTGTCCCTTCGGTTATAGCAGCGTTTCTCAACAGGGGCCTCCATGGATCCTCGGGGGTCCACAAATGCTTTGAGGGTGCCTACAAAAAATATGTGTATTTCAGAATCAATAATATGAACTAGAGTTAGAAATGCAATTACTCTAGAGTAATTGCATTTATAATAATGAACTAGAGTAATTAGTTCGTTATTATAATTTCATAATAATGAACTAGAGTACTTTTATAATCATGAACTAGAGTAATTACATTATTATAAAATATTATTAATAAAATAACAGTAATATTTGGTTGGCAAGATGTTGGCGTATAATTTTTTCATACTGTGAAAAGTAGCGATAGTAGCAATCAATATCTATATTTGTTATCTGAATAGTCAAGCAGCTGGTTGAAGATGAAACAACAGTTTTCTTCCGTTCCTTAAGAACTTTCCTTCACAACAAATTCTGAAGAAGGCCATTTCTCAGTAGATAAATATAACCAATCAGGGCCCTCCCAGCATTTTGACTGTATCATTTTCTTCGCAGAATATCCTCTGCTTGGAAGATCAAGTGGCTTTAAGTTCCTGGCACATGTCTCCATTGCTCTTTGGTAGTCAGCGTCCTGATTTCAGATATTCGATTTTGAACAAAGGTTCCCCACGCTTCTTCTCTTTTAATCCAAGTAATAACAGTAGTGGAGTCCGTCCAAAAATAAACTTCTTCATGTAATTCACACAATTATAGAAACAAGGTCAGAAGCAATTGTGACTGCTAGCAACTCTAGTCTAGAGATGTTTTTTTTTTTTTTTTTTTTTCTTTCAAGTTTGGGGAAATTCTGGATTTAGCACTTAACAACTGTACACTACGAAAAAAAAAAGTTCTACTGGGCCGATAAGACGAGATTCAAATTGCGTTTTTCATGTCTCAAAAGTGCGACTTAGGATATGTATTATATTTAAATATAGCATTGTTCTATTATAGGTATTTTGACACAAAATCGGACTTTTTCTGAACTAACATGCCAACATTTTACAATATTTCCATTCTACGACTCGAATTATGGCAAATTGCGGTGTTTTGTAAAAATCGCATGAGTAGTTTTTAAAAAATTAGCTCTCAAAATTTTAGCTGCTCAATGTTAATTGAATTTGATGTATATTTATTAATATGTCTTTTTTATTAAACTTATTTGATTCTTCCTTTGATATTTCAAAATTTAGGTTCATTCTAAATAAAATTCGCCTATTTTTCATGATTTATTTTTAAAATTTGTATTTTAAAATAATTTTTATAAATTTTTCGAAAACATTCTTTTAATTATAATCTATAAAATTTTACCATCCTCTTAAATTAAATGTAATCCTACTTGCAAAAAATTAGATTTTTATTCAAAATTTCCGAAGATATACGTGAGTTTATATATCGGCGCGTTTTGAAATTTGGCATATTTGTTGAACGCGATAACATCAAATGTAGTTTAGGCACTTTGTTAAAATTATTTGAAAGTAAAAACGATGTGCTTTTTTTTTCCGCTCCCGCCCAATGGAAGGGAAAGAAAAATAGGTTGCCATATATTAAGAAGTTCGCCAAGTGAATTATTCTTGGCTATTAAATCTCCTCTCATTCTCGGAACTGAATTACAGAAAAAGTAAAGGAAGAGATGCCCGCCATCTAGTGGCAAGAATATGACAAAGACAGTGAGATAAATAATGTGGAGGACTCGCAATTCACCTTTGGACACTTCCTCTATAATATTTTTCTCTAACCACTCTTCAAACATCTTTCCGTATGATTCAAACAGTCCTTCTGTTTCAAGACTCTTTACAACCAACCTTGTGTAGTCTTTTCTCAGAAAGCCCAAGGTTATCAGGAAGTGGGAGATGACCTTCAATCCAAGGTAAATTCACTAAAAACCTTTCATTTTCTATCTTAACTGTGTCCAAGAAATGTTGTTTTGCTGCTTCTTGTAATTCAATCGCTGTTTTCTTTTCAGATGGGTCAGTGATACCCAGAGAGTCTAAAGTCCACAATTCTGAAATGCAAGTACTAGTTGTGAGCATTGAAGTAATTAATAAACCTGAACTCTCATTATTTGTGCAACCAATGACTGTCCAACCCAACTTTGTTTCAATTGCAGTAAGTCCGCTATTTAGTTGCAGATGGTTTCCTGTGATTAACTTCCCCACAATATCTGCTCTGATGAGAACTTCAATCTGACCATCTAAATCTTCTGTTAGATGAATGACAGAGTGTCCAAGTTCTTTAAAGTGTGGCCCTCGCTTGTTTGCTAATATTGTGCCACCAAATCACTGCTTGTCTAAGTTCTTCAAAATGGCAACTATAGTCCTCTGTTAAGCTTGACAAGTATATTGTGAACACATCATGCTGGCAGGTCGACGTATTGGAGCCATCGAACAAGACATACTGTAGATACTCTTTTCATTCGGAACCGTACTTCATTTCTTCCGCCGTTGTCTTGAGAATATATGATCGCTGAGATCCAGAATCTATTACTGCTCGAGCTTTACATTTAATATTTTCCTCCTTACTAGCAGTTTCTGTAAAAAACACTGAAAAATTTAGACAAGTTGGCTAAGGCTTCATCATGCTTTATCATTGGTTTGCACAGTTCATCATTTTTATTAATCACAGAAGAATTATGTTTTTGTGACAAAGTTCTGCGCAAAAATAAATGGTGGTTTTTCCACACAATTGGCAATTCATTTTCGAGTGGCGTGTTTTCACCCCATATCCATCTTTTAAATACAGGAAACAACAATGGGCCTTTTCAACAGCTCTTTGTTTTTCTTGTAATGTTAAGAGCTCTTTTACAGTTTCACGATTTATGTTCCTCAGAACAAAATATGCAAAGTTTACTATTTAGATTCGATGTCAAAAGTTCTGTTGCTGATGATATGCTGGGTTGAATTTTCCTTTCAATAATTTCTTGATGGTTATTAAAATAGTTTGTTTTTTTACACTGGTGAGTGGCAATCAAAATTCTCTCCTCCCCCTCCACTTCATCTTGAAGAAAACCAAGAAGGCAGTCTAGATCATTAGTAGGCATTATCTTTAATCAAAGAGGACATTACTTTGGAGGATTCTTCCTTCAATTGTCGATTCTAAACCGTTCCCATGCTTTTTAAGTTTCATTCATCAGAGCTGACTCAACAAGAGGGTAAAGCAATGCAGCATATTTGACTTACTCCCTTAAACTAAGAGCTTAGAGACTTTACAAAATCTCTAAGCTCTTAGTTTCATTTCCAATTGATCATACAATTTTCAAAGTGAAGACTTTTGTGACTTATGTTTTAACAGTACAATGGATAACATATCTCGAACGTAAACTTTGATGAGTAACTCCTCCTTGCCATAGCATAACTGCAAACTGTTTCACAGCCTTTTCATAGTTTCTTTCACCAGAAGGAAACGGCAGATGAATCCTTTTCCATACTTTGAGCTAAATATGCATATTTATCATGATTATCAAGATCTGAATTTTATCAATTTTCTGAAATTGTCTTCCAAAGCACAGCCAATTCTTGATATTCCCATCAAAAGTAGATAAATAAATTTTAGGGTAATGTAATAAATTATTAGGTACCGTACTTCCAACTACAGGAACAGCAGAATGCTGACTTTTTTCATTAATAAGATCCTTTAATTTGTTCTCTAAAACTCTCCACTTGTCAATATAGCTCCCTGATACATCGATATCTTCCTCCTTCTCTTGGGAACTTAAACAAACGGTCTCTTAAATTAATATTTGCGCGTCACCATTAATTTCGCTTTCTCTTCAATAACTTTTAGTTTCGAAATATTATCTTCCGCAGATAACTCGGTTTTACGTTTATGAAAGTCATTGTAAACAGTCTTCTATACTGTTTTAAAGAAAGTTTTGATTTTTCCATCATAAATATAATTAGATCAATAATTAACTCACTCAAAATCACAGTAGATATCCCGTCCAAAGACGCCAGTTATAGGACACCAATTTCAAAACTCAGCTATAAATCGATATTTCTAGAACTCAAAATCAAAGTATGTACATAGTATTAACACAGCATTCTTTATTCTTTTCAACATTCATAATTACAATATTTATACTTGAAAACATCTAACTACGAATATGAAGACAATTCTCATTGAATTCAAAACATTAGAATACTGTTTTCAGTTGCCAGACTCAGAATTACAAAGTTACTAACAATAAGCACGTGAAGTTATACTGACAACAATTACGCATGCATAAATTTAACACTCAGTTTTCTACACAGAATTTGCACTCTCATCACCTGCTTACGTGCACGTCCAATTGAAAACAATCACAATGTTACCGTCTGTCTACCACAAGAATTGAGAATTGCCTGCACCCTTATGTCTAGCACTAGGTAGGGCTGGTAGGGGTGCCAAGTGAATTTTTTAATGTTATTTTGTTTCCGGCGGATGTTGACGGTGGTAAAGAGAAAGTCATTAAGTGCATTAAGATGGCAAACTGAAAAGCAGTTTTTCAGGACACCCTAACGAAAATAAAATGTAAGCATCTGAATATACAAAGCATGAGCGAAGCACACAATATAAATTGTTTATTTTGCTGTATATTGTTTTTTATTGCAATAAATTGCCATTTTCTTTTTCCTCATCTGGTGTAGTTATTGAAGATATCTATTCCTATGAAACCTTAGCTCCCAACAGTGTTAATAACAATAATTGAAACAATATCAGAAAATAATAAAATAAGCTATTATAATCAGAGCTTATGATTAGCAAAAAATTTGTCTTCATGACAAATTCATATATGATAATTAACTGTTTACATTAACATACTGATCAGATATGAATTAATTATGGAGTCTTATCTTAGAAAATGTCTGTGTGATCTATTTATATTATTTAAGACAAAACAGTTTAAGGAAGGGGAAAAAAAGGTCAATGTTTATTTGCATAAACCAGACTAATAGAAAAATTAAGGCAACTAACAAGTAATGAAATATCACATTTTTATACAGTTAATAATTTTCTTATAACAGAAAATTTGTTAGTCATAAAACAAACTTACATGAAATGCACAGAACTAATTTGTAATGCAATGCATTTCTTTCATATTATTCATATTACATATATTTTAAAATAATCAACATTTATCATCCACCGATTACATCATTAAATTCTAAGAAACCTATGTAGCTATTTTCAAAAGTCCATTTTATATACAATAGATAATTTATTACTGTAACTTAAAAGGACCACTAAAACAATTGTTACAGTTACATCATTGCATGAAAAAAATAACTAAATGCCCACTGTGAAAACTTTCTGTAATTATATCATTTAATACACTTTTAACCCTCTGCGGATGCATTAAGAAGATTTGTGCCGCATAAGCCTGTTTCTGTATATAATATCTGTATATCAGTGACAATTAGCATTGCTGGCACAATGGACTTGATATAATGTTTTAATTTTTATTTTATTTATTTTGATTTCTTGATTTACGAATACAAATTTTTACTTTATTATTATTATTTTAAATTTATTTTAGCATACCTGACAACTTCACAACAGTAAAAACCAGATTTTTGAAAAATATTCAGCATGAAGTTAATTTTACAGATGTAAAAAACATATAAATATTTTAAAACAATTTTTCACCCAAACACAATTTTAAAAATTACACATAAAATTAATTTTAATGCAATTACAGTAATTTCTTTTTTCCCCCTTTTGCTTAAAAGTTATTTTCAAACTATGCTTTGTAACACTTAAATATCCTGCTAAAACATCAGAATCAAGGTATTCAAAAATAGACAAAATACACTTTATACCCAACAGAGGGATGGAAAATGTTTTTAATGTTATTTTTTTAAAAATGTAATTATAATATTTTAGCTTTACTGTATCATATTGATGCTATTATGTTTGTTTAAAAAATGTTATGAAATTTGCAAAAATGATGCAAAATTTTTGTAGACTAATTGATTTTAAAATCACCAAAATGTTAATAAAAAACTAAACTTGGGACACTTTAGAAAAAACTCATATGCCAAAAGAAACTGAATAACAACGCAAAAGTACAGACTTTAAAGGCAGACTTAGCGACAAAGTGCCAAAATTTTTGCATCTTCACAAAAATTGGAAAATTCAGGGGGGAAAAAATAATTTTGCATCTTTAGATCATAAAGCTTGAACAGTTTTTGTAAAAATTATAAAACTTTTGTGAATTTGGAAGGACTGTTTTAGCTCTTTTTCTTTTTGATGAGAAGTAAGAGCATATGTTTTTGAAAGTAAACAAAAATAACCTTTCCTCTCAAACAAGCTATGGAGTAGACATCTGGTATGACACAGGTATTATTTTTCTGAAGTTATTTTATTATTGATATTATTTTTTAAATTTTATTTCATGTTTCTTGCTTTGGAAGGAATGTTTGCTCTCTTCCGATGTACAGTGCTAGATATAAGAATTTATGCATTAGAATAATAAATATATATCACTTCAGTTAGGATTTTCATATTTTACAGGAAAATATACAATACAGTATAACTGACTAAATATAGCCAAGTTCTTAAAAACAATATCATTTTTCTTATTTCTTCCAACTTTAACAATAGGAGTATGAAAATGTATATATGTTTAGATCAATCAAATAAGAAACTAAGCTCTAAAGGGGGAGGGGAAAAAAAAACACAATTATTCAATGTTTCAAAACCTTAATTTTTTTTTTAAAATGATTTCCCAAACTAGGTCAGGAGACAAAGTTCTGCCATCTTTCAAAGCAAAATCAGCTGCATCAAGTCCACAGTTATGTAAGCAAAATTCCTTTCTCATCCGTAAAGGGTTAAAAATAAAGACTGGTAATAAAAAAAAAAAGAAGTTGCAGTTATTAATAAAATAGTTAAATGTTTCATAGAGAAGAAAGAGGAAGATATATCTTAAGGCCATGAAAGTGAAAAAGTGAATTTACCCTAGAAAAGTTTCAGATCACAGTGCTAGAGTTAAATAGAGTGATTCTATTTTTAGTTTAATGGCTTAAAAATGCAAGCTGTTTTGAACGTAAAACTACTGAGAAAAGAATTTTTAGTCAATACACTATTACCAAAAATGTAGAAGTAAAACTCATAAGTATGTAAAAACTACTTCTAAAAAAGCTTCATTATCTAACAGCTTTTTTTGCTTCTATATTAATAAATAAGGTTAAACACATGAAATGTTTTCAAAGCTCTTTTCAAAACAAAAAATTCTTCTTCACAGTATCAGACCTTAAGTTATATGAATGTGACCTCATGCTGTAAAGTGATTTTAGTTATTTATTCATTTTTAAATTAATAAAAATTTGAAAAGTCTCAAAACTGTCAAATATTTTACACACATATAAAAAAGATAAAAACCAGAGCTGCATAATATTTTTTAAATAAGTTTAAAAATAAAAATCAGTTTGTAATCGCAAGTATTCATTAAAAAACTGCAAGTTATCAAAAATGTTTTTAACCTTTCAATTCACTTGAATGCAAAATTCCCATATAAATATTTTTTTAATAATTCTGAAAATTTTACTTCAGAAAGAACTATTTTCTAACAAATAATTTTTCAAGTACTACGTTAGACAAATTTTCTTATTATTTCACCTATAGAAATCTGAGAAAACCTCTGCCTTCTTATATTGCCAAATATTAAAAAGCTCAATAAATTATTTAGAAACTTATGTGCTATATTAACATAAACTTTCAAATATTATTCAATTAAGCTAAGTTACAATTAAAAAATATAAGAACTTTTGATAAGAAGGATATCTGGACCTGTATCGGGACTTAATTTGTTTTTCCTACATAACAAAATTAAAAAAGAAAAAATATTCCTATATAAATAACAGTTTTCTAAAACTACATAAACAATACTTTTATGCCAAAAATTCATTCAGAGAACATTTTATCAGGTATACAAAATTTCATTTTTATGCACATTTCAATAGAATAAACATTAGTCATAAAAATATAACCTTTTCCGACAGCTAAGTATATTTTATGCAGTTAACAAAGCAATATGTTTAAACTCATGCACAAAATATCATAAAATCTATACAGAATATATATACAGATATTTGTTAGAACAGATTGATATATATATTATATACATACATACATGCTAGTTCTTCCATATATTGAATTTGGGTATGCAGCATTAAATGACACATAATTTATTATTTTAAGAAACTCTTTCTTCAAAGAGGAGGTAAAATTGAATTTAGCCATAACAAAGTAATCTTTTGATTTGATCTCAAAATTTATCACTAGGACCAAGAATATATGAAAGGAGTTTCCCCCCCCCATAATAAGATAAACAATTACTTTGCTAAATAGCTGCATATAAGTTAATAAATAATGTATGGAAACATTCTGGGTAGAGGGAATTCTGTACATTGTTGAAACACACAAAATAGCACCTATCATAATAAATCATAAAAACAAACACAATCAATGCCAATGTAATTATGTTACACACTTGAAACAATACATGAACAAATGATTAAAAAATTCTCTCACATACACAGATTTTTAAAATTCAAAAAAAGACAAAGACAACATGTAAAATAAATTCTGAGCAATCCATTTACAAAAATGATACAAAAAGTAAAATACATTATGTTTTCAAAAGTAATGAAAATTACCAATAGCTTCTAAGCAGAATCTTAAATAAATGAAAAAAAAAAATTTAGAATACATTAAAGCAACAGGAAAATATAACAAAATAATCTACAACACTAAAAAATGTTTATGATTTTACATTAAATACTGCTTTATCACGTTCCATGATGAACACGTTTTTTTCCCCAGCTACAAACTGTCCCTTGTATTTCTAATGTAGATTTATAATGCACTTGAAATACACTTATAACAAATACACACATATGTATTTTAATTGTTTTATAAACTGTAAGCACATAAAATTAATTTCATATTTTATTAGAACAGAAGAAAATGGTTTTGAAGGCTAACACAATATACTCCAATTTTACTGGACAGAAATGTCATATAACTAACTAGCAGTATTTTAGGAATATTTTGCTTCTGATAGTGTGTAATAAATGTTCAATGAGTTACTTATCAAATTAAAACAGAAAATTTAATAAATTTATTTGCCATAAACAAAACTCCATTTTATTCTGATTTAAAAAAATTCAAGCTTACAGCAACAAACCCCTCCCCCAAATGTAAATAAAATTAAGGAAGAAATATACTCAAAATTTTAAAATAACATATTTTGAATATCTTGATAATTCAATTGAACAGTAAGAGATCATAATTCATAGTAAATATTGTTAAAATAAATTTAACACAATATTCAAAATTCTAATAATGCATTTTCTTCATATTTTGGTTTAAAATGTTTCTGAAAATATCAATGCCATGATGATTTACAAAAGTGAAATTTCTAAAAACTACAAATATTTATCTTGTTTTCATGAATTATTAAAAAAAAAGAGAAAGAATTGTTATAAACTAGATGAAGAATTTATTTACATTCTCCAAGAGATGCGGAAAAAAATTTGTCTAATTATTAAAGCATGTCATTTTGATTTCTCTATTAAGATACCTAACTAAATATCATAAATATATTGCTTTTAATGAAACATCAGTCAACCAAATGATCATTAATGAAACATCAGCCAGAATCAATTAAACATCAGTCGTCAAATCAATTTCAGTGCAAAGTTTGATAACTAAATTGTAAATACAATTTATATATCGAATATAACAAGTGCAGACCTTGATGAACATAATACTTCAAATTTAAGGGAACGTCATAGTTTAGTCTTCTTAGATTCAAGTTGTAAAGAAGAAAAACTACGACAAAAATACTGAAAAAATATCTTTTTATGAAGAACAATAAACATTTTGTAGATTTTTTAATTTACAGGTAATTTCATACATCATGAACTAATTTTGATGATTTAATAACAATATCACATATTTAAAAGACTGAAAAGATAAAACACATCAGCAACATAGTTAATTTACACAAAACTTAAGCACAATTCAGAATGTTACACCCAAAGAGTCAGACGGCAAAATTTAATGCACTAAATCAGTTTTTTAACATAAAATTTTGGTATAATTTAATATTGCGAAAATATGACTTGCAAATGTGTAGTGAAAATATAAAGTACATATTACAAAACAGAATCCAGTCAAATTATACTGAATCAAAAGCACAAATGCGAGTAAAATCCAGTCAAATCAAAAAACACAAAAGCTAGCAGAATCCAATCCTGTCAAATGAAATCAAAAACACAAAGGCTTACTACATCCAGTCACATCAAACTGAATCAAAAATATATAAATTACCAACCAAAAAGAAAAATCACAATTGATCTCATTCAACCATACAAGATAATAATATGACTTACATGGAAAGGAAATGTAACATTCAGAAATTTGGTTTATAAATTATTACTCATAAAATTATTGACAGAAAAAGGCTTAAATCAGTCTATCGCTGGTTTTATAAGATCTGGCAGTATTACAAAGCTAAACATCTTGCTAAATGTCTGGCAGCATTCATTTACATAACTACAAATTAAGAAATTACCAAAAACACATTTTTTTTTAATATTCCATTAAGATTTTACTGAGTATATTTCCATTAATATATATCTGAAAATAAATTTTAATAAAAAAATAAATACATGAAAAGAGACATCATAAATATTAAAAATTAACTCATCATATTTAAAGAGGAAAAACAAAAATTTTACTTCATATTTTCAGTATTCACATAGAAGAAACATCAGATTACAATCTCAAATAAAAAATAATGTATATATTTACAACTTGCATGCTGGATGTCAAAAAGAATGTTATTTTACATCCAAATTGTACTAAAAAAGTTTAAATTATAAATTACTAAAAATACAAGACCATATAGACTTAACATCCACAGTCACAGACACTGTCAGCTTGTGACAATAAGGCTAACATCTGAAACTGATTATCACTTTCTTATGGCTAAGTTTACATATTGCATGTACTAGCAATTCGAGATCAAAGAGTACTGAACTAATTCAATATTTCAAGATAAGCCACCGGAACCTTTCCTTTCTGAGTGCCACGCTCCCCCATCAACCAATCAGCATCAGGAACTGGTAAGGGACTAACAACAATTACCTACAAAAAGTATAAAATGATAATTCATGTAAAATTACTCTTATTTTATATGTGTTTCATCACTATCTGATAATAGTAACTGAATAAGATACATAAAATGGAATATGTTTCCTTCTTTACAATCAGAATTATCAGTAAGCCCCTCAAAAAAAGGTTGACCAAGTTAAAGATTTAATCTTTCATGGGAATTAAAAAACTCATTATCAGGGCCAGGTCACAACTTCTTCACAAAATAATTATTTTTATTATCAGAAAACAAACCAAACAATATAACATATTTTTGGATATTTTACTTTTTGCAGTGTATATATCTTGCAAGTATACACTACTTTTGTTGAAAAATGGAGAATTTTGGCATAAGAACCAGTCATATGTTTTGCACTTTAGATCAGTAATTTTCAGTATTTCATACCATCATTTCCTCTTTAGTACTACAGGTGTGCAATCAGCATTTCTGGTTCTGAGGTTATATAAGACCACACAATAAAACAACCATAAAGAAAAGACTGACTTCAATGTTTAGATTTAAGATGCCACTAATACAAAAACCTATCTAAATGAGATACGGGACCTGCTGATATGCACTAAGAATGAAAGAGACTACAGTCAAAAGTCTTTAATCCGGAATGATCTATAATTCGGACCTCAAAGCTACAAACTTTCTGCGGCAAACTCTATGTTTACGATGGCACAAAGCCATTTACGGCGCATATACCTTTACGCATGCACATAATACATTATGCATGCTTTAATGTATAAGGACGGTATAAGCTAAGCTAAAATTATCTAATTCTATTTAATGTTGCAGATTGCGTTATTCTTAATCTTCGAATTGGATCAGGCTTATTATTTTTGAAGACTGTTAGAGCAATTTATAAAGTAAGCTTAAGCTTCATTATGTCAAAAGAATTTCCGATTCTGCCAAGAATCTACAAAGCAAAAAGCTGTTTCGAGTCCTTAAACAAAAAGTGGAATTGTGCAAAAATGGAAAAAGGCCGTATCTTGTTTCTAACATTCGAAATCTGTTTATCAATTTCCGCTGCTCGGGGGGGGGGGGGGGCGGCATGAACTGGAAGTTGATTGTCAGCACTATCCTTACCTTCAGGCAGAATTTTTATTTTATTCGGTTAATCATATACGGCTAAATGTAGTATTTAATCGATGTACTCTGTCTTTGATATATTTAAATCAAATTCCTCATCATTATAATATCACGAATACACATCAAATAGTTTTTCTGGTGCAATTTTCTAATTTCGACTATGCGTATGTATGCTTTACGCATGCGCGTTGAAGAAATGTTTAATAAAGTAAACAAATAAATATTAAGCTTTTTTTTTTTTTTTTGTAATTTAGATCTTAATTGCTCTTTATTTCATAAATGGTTCATATTTTTAATTTTATAATTTCTGCATGCCATCTTACCAGATTTAAATCGATGATCTATAATCCGAAATTGCCGAAGTCCCGACGAGTCCGGATTAAAGACTTTTGACTGTACTAACATATGGGACAAGCCTTATGATTAGATGGACTAAGAAGGAAACACTTCTGAGCCCCTCTGCTATGTTGCAGACTAAAATTTTTGCCATTTGTAATGCACCAGCTGTACTGAATGCTATTGCTATTTACAAGGTGTGCCCATAAAGAACCAAGATAATTTCTTATAAATAAGAAAAAGATTACTAAGCTCCAAACAAATTTATTGCCAGGGGAATCTATACAATTCTTTAATGTTTCTCTAGGTCATCGAAAATGTTTATAAAGGACTGGAACTAACTGTTCACAAAATATGCATAACATTTAAATTTGAAAGGGCTCTATCTTAGGTTCATCTTTAAAATTTTTGCACCCACATTTAAAGAGGTTGTACCACTCATACACTTGTGTTCTTGATAATAATGTGTCACCATATACTATTCATTTTATCTCTAACATTTCAGTAGCAGATTTACGTAAATTGTAACAAAATTTAATATTATAATGCTATTCCATATTGAAGCAATTTTTTTGTATAATGTCTTCAGTAAATAATAATAACTATGGTGTGTTGTTACGCAAAATTTGATATGACAAAATAGCCAGTTTAAACTAGCTTTAACAAGAGTTGAGATGTTACTCTTTCTAAACATATATTTATTCTTTCAATTTTCATTTTGTCCAAGTTGCAATGACCTGGGAGAGAAATAACCCAGCATTTCAATCTGAGTTAATGCATTCAAGGCCACACTTTCTCATGCTTTGACTAATGCTTTTCCTCACTATTATTTATTCAGACTTAGCCTCCAGCAGTTTGAGATTCCTATCGTAGAAATAGGCCCACCAGTGGCTGAGCGGTAAAGTCGCTGAACACTGGTATTTCGGTCCGAGTGTGAGGTTCGAATCCCACGAACAGGCTGGCTGCATTGGTTTTTTCATGGTTTTCCTCATGTGCAACGTGTATATGAGCCAGTTTCCTTTAGAAAGTCCTTCACGAAGGCATCCCTCCTCTTAGGCAGATAGCCCTCGAGGCTTTGCTGTAATTGAATAACTAAACCTAACCTAACCTAATCTATTGTAGACATTTATTGCCGCCTAGATTGGATAGTGGTTAGTGAAGCTGACTAACTTTACCTAAGGGCTCAGGTTCAAATCCCAGAGAAGGCATGATTGTGTTTAAGCATATAGTGTTTGTGTGGCAAGGGGCCAGACAAAATGCATAGTGAGCTGAAATCCACTAGAGAAGTTGCTGGTAGGAGACCCTCAGACCACACCTTGGGATGTCCTCCCTTGGAATTCCATTTGGGATGGAAACTTAGCATTTAGCAAAGCATAGCAATACCTAATATGCCAACTTGCATGCACACGTGTAAGAATTGCTTTAATTTGCAGAATATCACTCATCAGGGCCAAACAAAAAAAATGGTTCTCGCAATTCCAGTTGATCACAGGCCTATATTTCAGCGGACTCTTGCCATAGTAGAAGAATCTTGGGCAACGAAACCGTGGGTGCAGCAGCTAAGATGGCTACCAAGCCCACTAATGTGCTATTTCCAAGCTTTTAAAGCAAGGCTAAAAAAATTTACTCAGAAAAGGACAGGACCTTTGAGGTATGAAAATTTCTGGTAAAAAGAGTCATCTAGTTCTTTCCAAAAGTAGGTCAGCTTTTAAATGGCTTTCCCTAATTCACTTAGTTCCTAAAAGGGCAGCAGCCCTTCCTTACATTCTCCACAGAGTTGGACATCACAAATACAGCCAGTGGATAGCTGGATGTGGAACATGGGACAGCTGGTGAAGTAGACCATTGTGTGTTTGACTGTGCAGGGCAATCAGATCTTCAACTGATTCAAATGATTTCACTAAGGAAACGAATAACTGATTAAACAAAATGGAATGGTAGCTCCTTTAAGAGCTCTTATTTGCAGCATGCCAGGAAAGTTCTATTTTGGAGGAGAAAGGAAAATTTTTCTGTTCCATGTTAAAAGTGAATTTAATTTTTATCACTTCCAACTTTCTGAACATTTTTTATTATTAATCCTAAGCAGAAAGGTGATTTTAGGGAATCTCAAAACTACTTTTGAATGAAATCAAGCCAGGGAGTTAGCGGTTTGATTGAATTAATTTGCCTGATCCCACAGCTCGTTTCAGTTTTTCCACTCTTCATTCCACCCTCATAGACTGTTCTTGATTCACTCTCCTTGGCTGATCTTATTGATTAAGGTTTTCTTAGTAAGTAGTAAGTCATAAAAAGGAATATATTAAGTTCAGCTAGTGAACAGTTCTGATCTGATACAATAAAAGAGTGGGTTTGTTCACATCTATTGTAAACACCAAACTTCCACTTTCCAAGTTTTAATTTCTAACAAATAGGATAAAACATTACCCTTCTTCTAGCTCTTACTTTTTAATAATTTATTAATAATATATTTAATTACTGTTATTAGTACTTATTTCCTTATAACATTTTCATTTATTCTATCAATAATAATAATATTCTCTAACAGCACATAAAAACAATCTAGAAATCCGATTGTTCCTCTTGAGACAAAGAATATAATTCCCACAATTCTTTAAAATTTGGTAGAGTTAATAACTTTTTTTATAAGCCTCAGGAGGGGAGAATCACATGTGCCTTTCTCATTCTCATAGAAAATATTAAGTACACAGTATTTTAAAATAAAACTCATTTTTCTATGTATAAATGACAGCACATTTGAAAAGCACTCTAAAAAAATTTTAATTATTTTATTTAGTTTTTAAAAAAAAAAAAATTTTAAAAATTTAAAAAAATTTATTTAGTTTTGTAGGACTCAGCATCTGCTCTGTATATCTGTCTTTTTGAGTGGCGATCATTGGTTGCAGTGTCATTCGAGGCTTGGGTAGTAGGTAAAATACAGTTTTATTTTATAGTTTCCTGAAAAGAATATTTCAGTACTAATACTTTTGTCTATTTAAATTACAATACTTTTTTAACTTGGCATAAGTAAAATAGTCCACATTGATCCTTCAATCTCAAATTGGCATGCCAGTTAAAAACAACAAAAGATCTTGGACATGAAAGAGAAAATTTTTACAACAATGTTCTCTCTTCCCTCTTATTCTTTGCAAAGACAATTTTTTTCTTAGGTAAAAAATTATAAAATGAAAATTAAAAATTTTCATGAGGTAAAAAAAAGTGATTATCACATTTGGTGATTTTGCAACAAACATGACTTAAAATGTTTTAGTTGAAAAGCATCTAAAATCTATTTTGCTCCCACACTTTTTTCTTAAAAAAATTCCTGGTCTATTCAGGGAAAAAAAAGGGGGGGGGGAGAAACCTAAAATCAGACAAGTTACCTCATCAGCAGTTAAAGATAATTCAGTATTATCATATGCTTCATAATTGTACAACACTCTGGCTCGCTTCTTATCTTCAGGAAGGGAGTTCAAAGGCATATCGGATGGACTCGGGGATGAAGGATACAACCCTTGGTAGGATCCAGTTTTTGTACCAGATGCAACATTCACAGAGCTGCAAAATAATATGGATGCATTAAAATGAGCTAAAACAAAAACAGAAAAAATAAAATGAAGGGTGATTAAATACAATAAATAAACTGTTTGAATAAAAATTTTATTTCAATTTCTTTGCTCCCAATCTCAAGAAAATAAAATTCCCCCAACAGCATGTAACTTTAAAGTACTGTACATCACTATGTACCTGAGCATCTTGCACTTATGCCTAATGTGCAAAAATAATTCCTATAAGCCTTTTTTTATGAATCGAAATGCAGGAATTCTTGCACATGCTGTTTAAATATTATTTGTTATAATGTAAACAGAAAGTGCTTGTAATTAAAATAAACATTCATAATAAGTTAATATAAAATATTAGTAATAATGATTATATTTATACATTTAAATTATTTCTTGCAATAATGAAGTAAAAACTTATGAAGTAGACTTATTTAAAAAGACTTTAAATATGAGTAGAGACAGATTTAGACTTGATAAGGCCCTAAGCTATTTGAGATATGGGACCCTTTATAAGTCTGTTATAATATGTTTTAATACTATATTTAAATTTTTTGGGGCCCCCCAAGAAAGTGGGGCCCTAAGCTATAGCTAGTGTAGTTTATACGTAAATCTGCCCCTGAATATCAGTGTCTATTACATCTTCCTGCCATATTTATATACAAAATTTTAAGCTGCTTGCATAGCATAAAATATTTCTAAATTCTGAACTCGCATTACAATAATCATCATGAGTTTTACATTCACAGAATGGAAAAAAAAAAAAAAAAAAAAATAATCACAACAACATTCAAAAGATTCCATTCAATATGTTTTTTGCAGCATTCTGATATAATTTTAAAAACTAAATTCAGTGATGCAACAGCCCTAGTGGCCTGCAGTGCTTCGATATCTGCTTTCCTGACCGTGGGCCACAGGGTGCCTGAGCATATGCTCTGGACAAGTGGTCAGCTTGTCGCATGACCCCCCCCCTCCCGGTATTTAGTCCTGAAGCAAACTTGGTACTCATTTCATTGACCAACTCAAGGAATGAAAGGCTGAATCAACCTTACCCAGCATGAGGATTGAACCTTGGATTTGTGGTGCTGCTGTGCAACACACTAGTCATTGCACCACCGGGCCTCTGATATAATTTATGTGGATTTAAAATTTGAAATAAAACGTTCCATTTCAACGTATCAATATGACATGGTGGGCTACGAATGATATTTTGCTGCCATATAACATTTGATAATGTGGACTTAGGGAGGGAAACCAAGGTGTGCCATCAGAAGAACTAGGCTACTCCCAGCCAATTTTAGCAATCATATTTCCCAACAAAATTTTATTTAGCATTTAGAAATTCTACAAGGAAAGTTATTTTTCCCTGACTACATCAGCTGTTCATTCATCCTGGATGACTGTGTTACTTCAGCAGGACTAGTAAGCCGCAGGTTGCTAAAGTAGGTGATAACCAGTTTTCACTTGCTCCTAGGATTTATTCAAGATAGGGACCAGGTAGCTCTCAGTAGTTTCTCTAGCATTAGCTTATTGCTAACTAGTGGCCTGTGGTCCTAAGGAATTTCAGTTTTCTCAGAAGTTATAACAGTGTTTTCATTAAAGCACTTTTGAGAGGGGTCAAAGGGGTTTTGAAATGAAGCATACTACCATTTTAATTCTGTATTTAAAATATGGAGAAGAACTTGATAAAAAAAAACTTCTCCTTTAGAACAAAGGTTCCCAACCTTTTCAGACTAACCCCTCCTTTAAAATAAATAAATAAATAAATAAATAAAATAATAATCATTGCCCCCTTTTCTATAATAGTTAATTTTAGCACATATTAAAATATTGCTGCATATTATCTACACCTAGTTTATTTGCGTATCTATCTATTAAGAGTTGCAAAAGAGAAATTAACTAAACTGACCATCAAACATAGTAAAACACAGCTTATTAAAAATTTAAAAATAAACAAAAAATCAATAAGGGGGAAAAAACAACAACAATGGAATAGTTGAGGCTGGTGAAATTTTAACAATTTATTAATGTTGGGTTCTGATTTTATTAACATCAGTCGCAAATTGCCACATTCAATGATGTGCAGTATATATATATTTTTTTCTTCTTTTTTAGACTGTAAATTAGCTACTGCACTCAACTCATGCTCAGCCAAATACAACGAAGAAAAACCAATTCAAAATTTATGTACTCTCGCCAACAATCTAGGGTAGAGTGGTGGTATTGGTTTTTGAAGCAAGAATTCTTGATATTCATTTCTGGATTTTACTTTTGGCTCTACAAATTCCTTTTCTAAATTTGATGTTTCTGCATTTGTGATAGGTTCTGAAACAGGTCGGTATATTCATGTACACAATAGCATAGAATTTCTTTGTAAAATCAACGTGAAGAATGTCCAGATGTTGGCAGTAAGTAAATCTTCTTTTGCTGAGAATGTGAGAAAGTAGCTGTGTTCACCTCTACATAGACGTTGTTTGAACAAAAATTTTCCTTTAAAAGTAGATATAAAATTTTTTGTTTTAATTAAATTCAACATTCATTCAACATTCTTGCGATTGCAAATTGACTTCATTAAATAATTTAAACAGGTCTGTCAAACAAGCAACGTCACTTTTGAATGGAATCAGGTTTATGCACACTCTCTGTTTTCAAGGAAATCCAATACTGAGTCTAATAAATTGAAAAATGATTCAGAAAAATACTTTTTGAAACCAACAAACTTCTGTGTATAGCAAAGAAAAAAAAAAAAAAAAAAAAATGCACTTTTCATTACTTTCACTACAAAGTTGGCCAAATAATCTGCCTTGCCTTGCAGTGAACTGCTTCTAATCTTACTGTCTGCTCAAATAACATAATAAAGTGACATATGCAGATTGTCATTCACATTTTTTGCAACACATTATGCAGCATGTACTTGTATTGCTTGTTTTGAACGTGCTATGAAACCCTTATGATGTCTCGTCATTACTGGAGCACAACTAGTAGCATCTGACAAAATAGTTTTTCTAAAAACAAATGGAATTTCTTTCTCTTTTCTATCAATACTATGGAATTTCATTCTCTTAAAGACACTTGTTCATGGTATTAAATAGCAATTTCCTTAGTAATTTTTAGTAAATAATAACTCTCAACACATTTTTTCTTCTTTTATGAACTGAGCGGATGATAAGAGTAGTGTTTTATGATTTGCTAGAGTTGATTCATGGAGTCGAATGGAAAATTTGCAGGTCCTTTAAGTAATCACAAAATGATATTTCAAAGTCTTTAGCTGTTTCATCTATTCTTCTTTACAATGAATTATTACTCGGTGGAATTTTTCTGATGGTGTTTTAAGATAAAAACAGTTTCTATTACTTCTTTGATCGCCAGCAAGATCAATTATATGTAGTTTTCCCATTTTTGTTAAGATCTTGTTTAGAAGACAACACAAAAAGGTTTGATATTGTTAGCCGCTTTAAATATTTCTTTTAAACTCCTTGAAAATAGAATAAGTTTTTTTTTTTTTTTTTTTTTAAATCAGCATGCATTTTATTCAAATGCTCTTGTAGCCTAGAAGACTTCATTTGAAAAAAATTTTGGCAAATTAAACCCACAAGTTATTATTGGTTTGTAGGAGATAGCATAAATCCATATTTCAAATACTCAATACTGTACTGCCAGTATTTCTTCTAGATTCACATATTTTGAAATACAAATTTTGCCACAGTTTAAATAACTTTCACACAGATTTATAGACAGTCTTTAAAAATAATTGCTGCAATGACTTTTATCATTTTCATTGATGAACATGGATTGTTGGTGAAGCACTCAAAAATAATAAGGCATTCCTAGAGCTCTGCCTTTTCCAAAGTACTTTATTACATTAATTTTCTAAACAGGTAGGTATGCCAAAGCCTCTTCTTTTGACTGTCGTAACATCTCCATTTGCCTCTGGACCACTACCACTTCCTTGGAAGGCACCAGTGCCCAATGCAGTGTAGTACCACCCCTGTTGAGTACCTACGCTTTAGAAGATATCATTATGGAGCATGTGAACACAGTCAAAGCGATAAGTGACAGCTGTTGGTTCATGATGTTGCATTCTTGATAGTTTATGTGCCTTATCTAATGGGACATTAAGCTTTCAAGAAAAATAAAAACTTATATCTAAACATTGGCCTAGATATTTCTATGGGCAAAAACATGAAGCATTACAATCAACACTTAAAAGCAAAATATTACTCAAATTCATAGTTGCATGTAAAAAGAGAAATAGATTATTTTGTCGACATTATATTCTTGCTGAGATAGACAAAGGAGTGTGGAATAATGTTGGTTTCTCTAATATTAGAAATTTTCATAAAGCTAAGATACACCATGTATATATAAATCACAAAAAGTTCTTTTTTTCATTAAAAACATGATTATAATACAGAAATGTAAAGGTTTTCAATAGGGAAGAGGACTGTAATTGGGTCTGATGTCTCTTGATAATGTTACATCAGATCTAACCAAATTCCTCTTCTTTATTTTTTTTTTCTGGTTTTGGTATATTTTTTGAAGTATTTATTTTTTTTTAAGGTTTAATTTCATATTTCTTTAATTCTCATTTTGTATTTATCGGATTTTTTAAAACTTTATTTGTATTGAACTTTACTCTTTTTGGATCTTTGTGTAGAATGAGTTTTAAATTCCTTACTCTTTGTCTTTCTTTCTCCATGCATTTATCTGCAATAATATAATTGTCAATACGATGGCAAAAATTATCTACACTTTTGTCATAACTTTTCTTACATTGTGCACTTTGTCTTCTGTTCCTCGCATATTTTGTTATTATACTATTGTGATAATGATGTGAAAGTTTGATCTTAATTCCTCTCTTTTTCTTCCTTCTGTTGCAGATATATCATGGCTGCTCCATTAGAAGTTTGAACCAAAGATGAACAATGAGCAGTCATCTGATTTCTCTGGTCGGAGGGTGTCAAAAAGTCAGATATTCGTTGCAATATGGGAGAAGTG